AAGCACAGAAGGATTCGTCTAAAAGCGCTCCTCTCCCCCAGAATCAACCTCCTGCCAAAGCTGGAGATTCAGACTCCAGAACATCCACTGCTCAAGCGTTCTTGACACAGGCAGTCTTCCAACCATCGACGAAGGAGAACCACCTCTTACTATCAAGGAATGCTTCCTAATGTTTAGGCGAAATCTAATTTCTCATCCTTTGTATCCTATCCTCTGGAGCTACAGAAAACGATCATGTTCTGTCTTCTCTAGGAGTGGCCTTCAAACATTTGAAGATGGCTATCATGTCATCTTTCCATCTTTTCTCTGGACTAAGCTTCCTTAACTGTTCCTCTTAGGGCTTGGTTTTCTGATCTTTCAGCTTTCTGTTCCTCTGGACATGTTCCAATGTCCCAATGTTGTTCTTGTTTAGTGGTTACATCATGTCCGACTCTTCGTGACCCCATGGACCAGAGCACGCCAGGCCCTCCTATCTTCCTCGGCCTTCCGGAGTTGGGTCAAATTCATGTTGGTCGCTTCGATGACACTGTCCAGCCATCTCGTCCTCTGTCATCCCATTCTCCTCTTCCCCTCGCACTTTCTTAACATCAGGGTCTTTTCCAGGGAGTCTTCTCTTCTCATGAGATGGCCAAAGTATTGGAGCCCCAACTTCAGGATCTGTCCTTCCAGGAACTTCTGAATAACCCTCCTAAATTTTGGTGCTCAGAACAGGTCATGGTACTCCAGAGGAGGTCTGACCAAAGCAGAATGGAGAGGGGCCATGGTTTCCTTCATCTGAACCGCGGACTGCGCCCTCGCCATGGCAAGAGAGGTTCAAGATTTTTAGGCTCAGCCATCCATTAGACTGAGCAAGGATATGCAAAGGATAAAAAGCAGCCGTCAGCATTTCCTCGTTGCCCAGAAAAGCAGCGCCTGTCAGCCGATGTTGCTTGTGGGCTAAGCCCCCGGACATCCAAGGGGAGGAAAAAAGATCCTGCTAAGCCAATTGATTGGTTTCAGGCAATATCTGCCAGTCATTTGCATATGTTCCAGGACATCTGAAAACCCTTTTAGAGTTGCATGAAAGGGTGCAAATAAATATATACAAAGTAAAAAATGCTTTGCATAGCAATACAAAGTCCTATATTGACACTTCATCAACAGTTTAAGTGCATGGGTGGGGGGAAAAAAGTGCTTTGCTCGCTGTGACGTGATCTTGTCAGAGCTTAGAAACGTCATGGAGTTGGACTACAATGCCCAGAACTCCTCAGCCGGCCTGGCTGTCTGGGGGATTCTGGGCACTGTAGTCCAAACAAGGAAGCATTCCACATTTACTCTTGTGCCTGCTTAGGTCTGTTTCCCAGTGGCAGAATCTCCCAGGGCAGAGTTCAAGCCTGGGTGTTCGCCCGAGCACAAGCTACGCAGGAAGGCGTTGTGTTCCATCCTGTCTGTTTGCCTTTTTTTTGTTCTTTCATTCTATTTGGCTTTGCTTGAACTGTTAAATTCTTTTTTATGATGTGTGTGCATACATGTGCGCGCCGGTGCCCCCTTTCATGTTGTTTTAAAGCATTTGAACCACATGTCGGTAGCTGTAGGTCTCATAGGATGCACTTCTCATGTGCATAGATTCAGACATGCATACCTGATACTCAGTTGTCAATGACACACACACACACAACACACACACACACACACACAGTTCTAAACACACACACACACACAACGCACACAATCAGTAAATCAACCCGTCAGTAAAATAATTCAGGAGGGACAGGAGAGGGCAACAATCGTAATGCTAAGAGCCATCCTCTTGGAAGGGCAAGAGCTGGAAGGGACCCTATGGAGGATCAAGTCCTGTCAAGGAACTGAGTTCCCAACTTCTGCAGCCCGAGACCAAAATCGTGGAGCGATCAACTAGAGAGGGAGGGAAAAGCAGGAAGCCACCACCTCCATACCATTTCATAGAAACAAGCCATCGTTGACTCTGCTTAACTCCGTAACAGGGAGGGAGGGAGGGTTGCCCGCGTTGAAAGAAGCAGACCAGGGGTTTGGAGATTCCTTCTGGCCTTCTCGCTCAGCCGTCCTCCTTCAGTTCCCCCCCCCCATCCACGTGCATTCTCTCCCTCCCATCTTGAACAGCCAGGTCCCTTCTTTCCAAGGTGGTGCCATCAAGAACAGCCGCAGGAGGTGGGTACCCTAAGAGCAGATGGCCAAACAGACGGTGCCCATCTTTAACCAGAGGTGGGCCATGCAGAAGGTGCTTGGATGGAGGCCTTTCCAAAAATAACTCTGCGCCAACGGAAATGCTTGTAGAGAAATGCGGCCCAACGAGTCGATAATGAAAGCGAGAAGGAAAACGTTGGTGTCCTTTCTCCCTGGCTCTGCAGGACCCTGACTTTGTACCAGCTGGTCTGGTTTAAATTTGGGATCCAGGACTCCAGAGAACCAAGAGCTGGTGAAGGATGCAAACAGAAGGAGCCCAGAAACTGGAGGAACGCTGCAAAATATGAGGTCCTGACCTGCCCGTCTGTTTCCCTGCTTTAAACTCTAGGGAAGGTAGGGATTGAGGGGTGGGTCTCGAATTCATAGGCATCCTTCAGTCTCGAGAGACTATGGTAACATGCTCTGAATCGAGGAGTGTCCTCTCCAGAGCATGAAGCCCGGGTAAGGTAATATGGAGGATAGGCTGTTACCCGAGCAGCAGATCCCCCCTCTCCACATTGCTGAAATGGTCCAATGGAAAGGCAAGAGCCAATACGACTGGTTCCAGCAACGTCGCAGGAGTTGGCAGAACGACACATGCTGCCTTCGGGACTCCAGCTCCGGATTTTGCCTCGAGGTTAACTCCTGAAGCCTTTTCCATGAGTGGATATAGCCACAAGGCAGTGGAGGTTTGAAATTGGAGTTTTCCTTCTCCTAGATGGGCTGCCTTCCATGGCTGACGAGCCCCACCTACCCGGCCTGCGCTTTAATACTGCATAATAATAATTCAAGGACACCACCCTGGGTATTTATTTCTTCATTGGTCAGGCACCAGAGCATCGTATGAGCTGGGCGATTCCGTCCCCACCTTGGCTAACAATCATCTTCTGAATCCTTAAAGGGCATCGGCTCTACTTTCCCGGTGGCCACTCTGGGGCTCAATTAGGCTCTCAGAAATAAGCCCCAGAGGGAGGAACCGGACGTCCGGCTGCCTCAACCAGAGAGAGAACTAGAAACAGTGGGTTGGAAGGGCTGAGGAAAAAGCCAGAAAATACAATGGGGTGGCCCGCCCCTCCTCCAGCTTACCTTCTGCCCTCCAAGGCCATGGGATAGAGGCAAATATCAACGGGATAACCAGGGCTGCCTAGTGGGTTTGTTCTTAGGGGAGTCTGTAGGGTTATGGCTCCCCTATCTCTTGATGTTCGGAGATGTCCCTCAAGCCTTCAGTGGAAGAAGCAACACGGGAGGCATGTACTGGGGTGTGTTGGGTACCAGAAAGGGCTTGGTACTCAGCTAAAGACCCAGCTCTAATTGAGGAGCTCCAGCGTCCAGCCTGGGAGGAGTGTGGCCAGTCCAGGACCGAAGAAGGCTTAAAGGTGGAACGGAGACCTTCCAGGTTGTCCTCTCAAGGCCCAGGGAATGCCTGACATGGAGGAGTTTAGCTTTATTTCATTATTTATTTGATTTTTATACCACCTACCTGGCAGCCAAGGTCACTCAGGGCTGTTCACAAGCTTTAAAGTCCTACAAGGCTCTTAACACGTCCCTTTCCTTGCCCCGTTCATTCTGGCGCTGAGGCCTTGCCGAGCAAGCCATCCACTGGAGGCCCTTTGGAGGTAGGGCCTTCGGGCGCCATCGCTAAGAGTTTTCGAGAGTTCTTTATGGATGGAGGTCCATCAGGGCGACATACATTTCAAGTTACTGAGACCGTATCGATCTTTTGTGGCTGCTAAGAACTTAACTGAAGACAGATTTTTTTAAATGTAAAACAACAACTTAATCCCAGTTACTAATCCCAGTGAATGTTGCCGTTCTGCGTCAAGGGCCATTTGCTAAGTCACAACTGTGTAAGTTCTATTAATTCAATGGGTCTACTTTGATTAGGCACGCCAATTGGGTGGTGACTATAACTTTTTGTGTGTGCATTTAGGACCGCATTGCTGGGAAGAGGGGGCAGCGAGAGAGACCTTCCATAACTGACTTATGCAGAGAAGGGGTGAACTGACCATGGTCAGCAACTTTGTCCGCCAGCGCACGTCCAGTGGAGAGTCGTCCGTTCTTACCTGGAATGAAGTGTTTGGATGGATGTTAATGCGGGCCTGGAACCAGTGCTGTCCTTTGTTCCCAGTGGCAGACCAGAAGGGGCTTTCTATGGAAGTCTGACTTTTTAACCGGAGGTAAACGTTCAGCGTTCCTTGAAAAACAAATGACAACAATATTAGCAATAACATTAGGAGGCTGATGTGCCACAGGAGAGGTCGCAGCATGATAGATGATCCGACAGGCCAATGCAAGAAGGGGCCATTCAAGTATCCTACCCAACATAAATTTCATCTTGAGGTTTTTTTGCGGGGGGAGGTAGATTTGTGCAGCTTTTCTCTCTTCCATATTGTCCGTCTTTGCCTGCAGGCTGACTGCCTGAGGTCGCTCTTTTTCTCACTCTGATAAAGTGCTCCAGAAATGCTGCATCTTCTGCAGATAGAAAGATGTCTTGGAGAGAAAAAAAGTGCATCTTATGGTGCAAAAAATACGGTAATCCCAGTTGCTAGTCCCAGTGAATGTTGCCGTTCTGTGTCAAGGGCCATTTGCTAAGTCACAACTGTGTAAGTTCTATTAATTCAATGGGTCTACTTTGATTAGGCACGCCAATTGGGTGGTGACTGTAACTTTTTGTGTGTGCCTTTAGGACCGCGTTGCTGGGAAGAGGGGGCAGCGAGACCGACCTTCCATAACTGACTTATGCAGAGAAGGGGTGAACTGACCATGGCCAGCAACTTTGTCCGCCAGCGCCCCTCCAAGGGGGAGTCGTCCGTTCTTACCTGGAATGAAGTGTTTGGATGGATGTTAATGCGGGCCTGGAACCAGTGCTGTCCTTTGTTCCCAGTGGCAGACCAGAAGGGGCTTTCTATGGAAGTCTGACTTTTTAACCGGAGGTAAACGTTCAGCGTTCCTTGAAAAACAAATGACAACAATATTAGCAATAACATTAGGAGGCTGATGTGCCACAGGAGAGGTCGCAGCATGATAGATGATCCGACAGGCCAATGCAAGAAGGGGCCATTCAAGTATCCTACCCAACATAAATTTCATCTTGAGGTTTTTTTGCGGGGGGAGGTAGATTTGTGCAGCTTTTCTCTCTTCCATATTGTCCGTCTTTGCCTGCAGGCTGACTGCCTGAGGTCGCTCTTTTTCTCACTCTGATAAAGTGCTCCAGAAATGCTGCATCTTCTGCAGATAGAAAGATGTCCACCAGATCATAGGATGGGAAGCCAGGGGATTAGAAATCCTTCGCAGGACATGGAGCAGAGCTCTCGTCTTCTCCTTCCCATCCTGAAGCTTGCTCTAGACCAGCGGACCCCAACCTTTTTGGGGCCGTGGACCAGCTGGGCGGAGCGATCTCCATGCGCAGGGGGCGGGGGCACGTCACGCTTGTGCAATGGATGTGTCATGCTCGCATGCACGCGTGCTAGTGTGACATGCCCCCACGTGAGCTCAACATGCCCCTGCAGGAGCATGACACGCCCACCATGGGTGCGACTCCCCCCAAGGGCATGACACACACCCCCGCAGGTGCGACATGCCCACCGCACATGTAGGTGGAGATCCATATCCGCAGCCCAGTTCTGGCAAGCCCATGGACCGGCACTGGGCCACGGACTGGAGGTTGATGACCCCTGCTCTAGACAACTCCCTCGTTGGTTGGTAACTGCAAGGGCTCTCCACTGACATAGAGATGGCTTGAGTGACTGGTCATTCATTCATTCATTCATTCATTCATTCATTCATTCATTCATTCATTCATAAATTCACAAATTCATTCATTCATTCATTTTAATGTTTCTAGACTGCCCTATATCATCAGATTTCAGGGCTGTGTGAAATAAAAAATGATATTAAGATAAACTAATAAAGTTTTTAAAAAGACATGAAAAGAGTTTAAGAATTACAAAAAGATTAAAACAGACTGGAGGATGGATCATAGAATCGTTGTAGGGTTGGAAGGGACCTTGGAGGTCCTCTAGTCCAACCCCCTGGAGCCCAAGGCAGGAGACTTCATCCCATCCTGGACGGATGGCTGTCCCATCTTTTCTTGAAAACCTCCAGCAATGGGGCCCCCACCTTCTTCTCTACTCTGGCCTGGACAACATGGAATCTCCCGCTGATCTCAGCTGTCTCCTTGCATCAGCATGAATGAGACCACAAAAAATCACAGAAAAGGCATCTTGCAGGACTTTAAAACTCTTTGTCAGGGTGTTGTTTCTTGTCAAGATGGCCTAAATCCACAAGGAGATGAATTAAGCATGGATTGGTTGAATTCCTGTTGCCATAAACCATGTCTTGTAAGGCTGATGGTGTGATCCAGTGAGTCACTTTTTTCGGAATATAAAATATTTCCAATTTCTGCCAGAATGGTCATGAGACTCTCATGAAATATGTTTTATTGTTGAGAAGCTGTTGTTGTTTAGTCATTAAGTCGTGTCTGACTCTTCGTGACCCCATGGACCAGAGCATGCCAGGCCCTCCCGTCTTCCACTGCCTCCCGGAGTTCGGTCAAATTCATGTTGGTCACTTCGATGACCCTGTCCATCCATCTCGTCCTCTGTCGTCCCCTTCTCCTCTTGCCTTCACACTTTCCCAACATCAGCGTCTTTTCCAGGAAGTCTTCTCTTCTCATGAGAAGCTGTAGGGCCCTTCAAATTTCATCTTGGTCTGTATGTGGGCATGTCATGGGGGAGTTGTGTAAAAATATATCTACACTAAAAAAAAAAACCTCCCCCAAACAGCCCAGTTTCCCCTCTAAGGCCCCCAAATCCCTGTTTTAGGTGTAACACTTAAATGGTAGCTATGATATTTGACCCAACTCCGGGAGGCAGTGGAAGACAGGAGGGCCTGCCGTGCTCTGGTCCATGGGGTCACGAAGAGTCGGACATGACTTAACGACTAAACAACAGCAGCAACAACAATGATACCATAAAGGTCATGGCAAATGGTTAATGTTCCTATTTCACAATTTGAGTATTTGGATAACTCTTTGCTGCCCCAAAGCAAAACATGGCCGCTAACACTACATTGTGTGTAACGGTAATATTCGTAACGTGTTATTTCCAAGCACTAGAAGTAGAAAAAAATTTAAAAACAAAAAGTGGGAGTCCTTTCAGATCTTCTCCAAAGGCCTGGAGCATTTCCTCCACTTCACCCCAAACCCAACCAGAGAAACCTATTAGGGCATTCGAGGAAGCCTTAAGGGCTTGTCCTGCCTGACTTTGGCACAGAGGAGAGACGCGGCTCTCTGACTCCAGTGAAGCGTTGGAAGGGGCTTATCCACAGAACATGCATCTCCTCGGCAAATGCTTTCATTTCCTTGGCTAACAAGGGGCAGAAAGCGTTCATGCATATGGATACAGCCCGCGAGGTGCATTTGATCTCTCCAAAGAGCTTAAAGGGTGGGGGGCTTAAAAGTCTGCAACAGGCACCAACAAGCATTGGGAGAAGAGGAGCGGCCGACTCAGACCAAAGCCTACCCCCCCCAACTCAGCAGGAACCTTTTGTGGAATATACATCAATTTAGCTCCAGATACGGTTTCCTGTCCTCCTGCTCAATTCCCCTTATTTAATGGCCTCTCAAATCCCTCGGCATGAATCTTGGCTGGAAGATTAGCAAGGAATAATAATTCCAGAGCGGAGAGGAAAGAGGCTAGCCGGCAGCCTGACATATCTTGCGACGGAGAAGTTATTTCTCTCTGAACCCGTGGTTTGATAGGAAGAGTAGAAAGAAGGGCTAGGAGGAAAAAGGTGAGTGGATCCAGCTTGCTCACTAACAGGGAGGGCTTTGCAATGAAGGGAAGGGGAAGGACGGTCACCTGGCTGAAGACCTCCATCTTGTCATGAGCTGCACAGGAAAGAAAGGAAGGAAGGAAGGAAGGAAGGCAAGGAAGGAAGGAAGGAAGGAAGGCAAGGAAGGAAGGAAGGAAGGAAGGCAAGGAAGGAAGGAAGGAAGGAAGGCAAGGAAGGAAGGAAGGAAGGAAGGCAAGGAAGGAAGGAAGGAAGGAAGGCAAGGAAGGAAGGAAGGAAGGAAGGCAAGGAAGGAAGGAAGGAAGGAAGGCAAGGAAGGAAGGAAGGAAGGAAGGCAAGGAAGGAAGGAAGGAAGGAAGGCAAGGAAGGAAGGAAGGAAGGAAGGCAAGGAAGGAAGGAAGGAAGGAAGGCAAGGAAGGAAGGAAGGAAGGAAGGCAAGGAAGGAAGGAAGGAAGGAAGGCAAGGAAGGAAGGAAGGAAGGAAGGCAAGGAAGGAAGGAAGGAAGGAAGGCAAGGAAGGAAGGAAGGAAGGAAGGAAAGAAGGAAAAAAGGAAGGAGGGAGGGAGGGAGGGAAGAAAAGCTGGCAGCCATGAGATGCAGTGAGCAGCCCCCTGAGATATCGCTGGGAGACGTCATTTCTGCCAACACTGTTACAGATCAGCCACTGGAGACGGAAGACTAGAACAAGCCCATGTCTTTTGGGGAGCAGGAAAGGGCAGACGTCTCCTCAGTTCCAGAGGACCGTCCACATCATTTGTTGTGTCCACACACCTCTCGGTTGTAGCGAACATGATACGTTTCCTGGTTTCCGTTCCCCAAAGCTGATGGCGAGAGTTCTAGGTGACTTTTTTTACTTACCTATATGTTGTCCATTCATGTTGTAGTAGAAACTGAAGCAATAAGCTGTGTTGGTGGCGCCGTATGGGTTTTTTGGGGGGATGCTGAACACGGGGCTGATCAGTCTGGCTTTGTCGCCTTCCTTCCTGGGGCTGGAGGCTTCGATGTACATGAAGAACCCTAGAGGAGGAGGAGGAGGAGGAGGAAGGAAGGAAGACAAAGCATGAAGTGCCACACCTAAGAGAGAATGGACCTCCATCCTAAACAACTCCACATGTTCTCCAACGGAAGGTTTCTAAGGCTGAAGCTGGTGGAAGATGTTCCGTCTTTAACCAGGCAATGCCAAAACAGGTCTGGGAGTCAAGCCAGTGAAATATTCAGCAATTTGTGTGTGTGTGAGAGAGGGTGTGTGTGTAAGGGTGGAGGAGAACAGCAAACCTTCAGACAGAAGGACTGAACATGGTATAAAGTGGTTGGAGTGTGGGTTTTTCTCGTATCGTTCTTTCCTCCATCACCATCGCCACCCAAAATATGACGGGTGGAGGGGACAGACAGAACCAGGTGCTTTCATCATCCTCCCACCCTGGCCAAATCCAAGATGTACTACTAGTGTGGCATTAAAAGATTTGCTGGGCCTGCCTTGATGGGTGAAGAGGAGGAGACTCCCAGAAAGACAGAGACAGCAGGCGACCACATCAGCTGGGTACCGCCAACCCAACTGTATGGGCACAAGGTCAGACTCTGTGGGGCTCAGCCAGGAAAGCCCTCTCCCTGGAGGGGGTGACTCTGGCGGCTTTTGCATCCCCTCCCATGTAATTTTTTGTTGTTGTTTGTTAAAGACTCTCCAGCTCTTTCCACCTCACTTGTGAAGAAACCAGCCAGTCTAAACCTGGAAGGCAGAAAATAGTAAAAAGAATAATTTGGAATTTTGATATGGCAATAGGTATAGAATGGACATTAGTATGTTATTGTTTCTCCTCTTCCCTATTAACCTCAATTTCCCTTTTTCCTTTTTGTCACACCCTTGTTAATAATAATAATAATAACTGAGTCTGGGTAAGGCAGACGTCCTACCACTGGAAGGATCATCTGACTGGCTAGAGGGAGATTTACCTGGCCTTGATAGGGTTACACTCCCTCCCAGAAGGATCATGTTTGCAACCTGGGGGGTCCTCTGTCTGTGGGGGCACAAATATCTGCAGTGGCCAAGAGTCCCTTTGATCAACTTTGCTTGATTGCCCAGCTGTAATTCTACCTGGAGAGGAAATGCCTGACAACCGTGGTTCATGCATTGGCGAGCTCCAAAATAGACTACTGTAATGGCTTCTCTGAGGGGCTGCCCTTGAAGTCAGTATGGCAACTTCAATCAGTCCAAAATGCAGCCACCAGATTAATTACAGGTACCGTAAGATGTGAGCGCATACTCCTTGTCTTGGCACACCTTCATCGTCTCCCCATTAGTTGCTCAATTTAAGGCACTGGTCATAATTACCTATAAAGCCCTTAAGGGTCTAAAAAAGGTAAAGGTAAAGGTTCCCCTTGACAATTTTTGTCCAGTCGTGTCCGACCCTAGGGGGTGGCGCTCATCCCGCTCTTCAAGCCATAGAGCCAGCGTTTTGTCCGAAGACAATCTTTCCGCGGTCACATGGCCAGTGCGACTTAGACACGGAATGCTGTTTACCTTCCCACCGAGGTGGTCCCTATTTATCTACTCACATTTGCATGCTTTCGAACCGCTAGGTTGGTGGGAGCTGGGACAGGCAATGGGAGCTCACTCCGTCGCGTGGATTCGATCTTACAACTGCTTGGTCTGCTGACCCTGCAGCACAGGCTTCCGCGGTTTAGCCCGCAGCGCCACCACGTCCCTTAAGGGTCTACCACCTTGATATTTGGTGAAAATCTCTCCCACGAAATAGGTACCCTCCCCACAGGCTCCTTGCCATCCCTGACGTTAAGAACTGTCGCATCCAAGGAGGCCAAAAAAGCCAACCCGAGGAATCGAACTTTCTTAGCCATGGCCCCTTCCTTCTGGAACAATCTTCCGACAGAAGCAACATCGCCTCTATTTTCAAAAAGCAGATGTAGAATGAGTCCTATAAAGCTGCCTTCCATTAGCGCCCTGAGATGTTCAAATGGATTTTAAATTTGTATATTTTTATTTAACTGTAGTTTTAGCTAATGATGATGTTTATTGTAATCTTAATACTGTCCACCCATTGTAAGCTGTGCACCCTGATTTCCAAAGTTTGAGTGCCCTAATTGCTCTCCATGGGCTCAGCAGCCACAGACCACGGGAGGACCAGGGTTTCGTTGGTCCTTGAACCCTTCCCTTAGCTCAGAAGTAGCTCAGAATGGAGAAACCTGCATCACCACCCCAACCACTACATGGAAAATAAATAAATAAATGATAAGTAATGCGAAGGTTTTTCCTGTAGTGATGTATGGAAGTGAGAGCTGGACCATAAAAAAGGCTGACCACCAAAGAATTGATGCTTTTGAATTGTGGTGCTGGAGGAGACCCTTGAGAGTCCCCTGGACTGCAAGGAGAACAAACCTATCAATTCTAAAGGAAATCAATCCTGAGTGCTCACTGGAAGGACAGATCCTGAAGTGGAGACTCCATTCCTTTGGCCATCTCATGAGAAGAGAAGACTCCCCGGAAAAGACCCTGATGTTGGGAAAGTGTGAAGGCAAGAGGAGAAGGGGATGACAGAGGACGAGATGGTTGTCATCAAAGTGACCAACACGAATTTGACCCAACTCTGGGAGGCAGTGGAAGACAGGAGGGCCTGTTGTGCTCTGGTCCATGGGGTCACAAAGAGGCGGACAAGACTAAACGACTAAACAACAACAACAATGCAAAGGAAGTCTATCTTTCCAACTAATCCCATGGACTGGGAAGAGAGATGCTCCCAGGTCAAATTGTGTCTCGCCTTCCAACTTAGTCATTTTGGGTAAGCAATTATCGTCTCCATCCAAGCCATTCACTGGAATACAACAAGTATTAATCTGAAAGCAGTATTTTGAACTCTCTGGTTATTCTCCACGTTGCTGTAGTCACCCCCACCCCCACTTCCCATCACAGTAGTTTTGAAGCTTGTCCAAAAAGAGGACCTGGTATTTCTTCAGTATTCTCTCTGAAAGGAACCGATCATTTTAAAAGAGATTTCTATATATCAAGTTCTCAATCTTCAGCCAAAACAGCAACAAGCAGAATTTTCATGACTCTGATTTCACAGACCGACATGGGTTTGAAAGGGTTATCTCATTCATGTTCCACATAAAATGTCACAATTCACAAAAGTGCACAAATTGCCCGAAATGAGGTTGAGAAGCACCGGATGGGTTGCTTGTTTCCTTTCTAACTGCTCATCACTTTCTCTCTCTGTGTGCATGTATGTGCATGCAGGCATCCTTTCCTTGGTCTCAAACGAAAGGGACACAACAGGCATTTTGCTCAAATTACAAGCAGGTCCAGACGGAGGGGTGGGGGAAAGCTCTTTGTCTCATGCTCAGCTGCCAGTAAATCTCTTGCAGCATTTTAAAAACTTTTCACTGTTCTATTCAGTTAGGTTTAGACAACCTTAACTGAAGAGAACGAAGCATTCGGGAAATTTTCTTCCCATCCGTGCTGGTGTGAGGTAATCTGATCAGATTCAAGGTTTTGGCGATCACCTACAAAGCCCTTCATGGTTTGGGATCACATCAGAGTTCTTAGTTTGTTTGCTGCTTATTTGTTTTATTTAATTCACGCTTCTTGTGTTTTTATCTCATTGAAAACCACCCAGAGTAGTGAACGACAGGGGCCTCCTATTGGGGCACTTAGGGATGTATATGAATGAATGAATGAATGAATGAATGAATGAATGAATGATCCTTAGCTCATAGTGCGGCTCCAAGTGAAGAGCAGTTACATCTAAGGATACAAACAAAACGTATATGTACATCCTGGTGTTATGTGATGCTCCACACACAGACCTGGCTGGAATGATGTATTTTTTTTTCTTAAGGAGCATTTTTGTTTACCTTCTTTTGAGCCAGACCGGTCAGCACTGGGGCCTGTGTTGGGGGTGTACTTTGTGTCTCGGAGGACTATGTTCTGTCTTGTCCAGTCAAAATTATCCTTCTGATCTTGGGAGAATAAGCAAATATTGTTGTCTTCAAAGCCACAGTGGAATTCTCCTGCCAACAGATTGAAGCCACATTCACATGAATAATGATTTCGCACACAAACCTGGAATAAAACAAACAAACATCTGTGGCTTCTCTTCTCCCCCAGCATGCACTCAGACCAAATCGCTTGCCCATCACGACTCCTTGCCTTGGGTCAGACTCTAGAGGTTGCACAACCAACCCAAGTCAAATCAGGTCGATTCAGAACAAATAAGAGCAATTCCACACTGGATGGTTCGGGAATGGGCCTGAAATGTCTTTGGTCCAGAGCAAAGCGATCCAGTTCACAAAGATGAACATGGAATTGCAGTAAAAGAAAACCAGTCAGCAGGTCTTCGAAATCTGGCAAACCCTCACCAGCAGCGGAAGGAGAAGTGCAACAAGGCTTGGTCTGCTGGCAATTTTTGTTTCCAGCCTACAACAAGACCCTCACAAAGTAGAGGTCTGCAGGTTTGTGTTTCAGGACTAGGAGTCCCAAAATCCCCCAGGCACCTAGGGGATTCTGGAAGCTGTCATCTGAACCCACACGTTGGCACACCTCTGCTCAGAATAGGGGGGCATCAGAGGGCAAAGGGGCCCGATCCCCTTTTATAAAAGTCGAATCAATCAATCAATCAATCAAACATGTCTTTTGCCTTGTTCTCTGTTATCAGCAGAAACATGGCCACGGAAGTCCTTTCCCGCAGTGACTCTGATCTGTTTTCCTTTCCCCGCCTATCAATATCCACGCCTATCAATATCCTGTCCCAAGGCAGGTTTTCTTTCTAGTAGTTCTTCCTTTATTTGTTTTATTTTTAGTGCCACATTTCCTATCGCGCAGGGGGTCCCGAGGCAGCTCACAAATCGATGTGACAGCCACGCGGATGAAAATACAATCTGCTGCACCATTGGAAAAAACCCCAATTAAACAGTGTAGTAAAAGTAAAAAAGACTAATCATTTCCAAACATTTTTAAACCCCTTTAGAAACATCCCCCTAAAAACAACAGTTTCCAGCATTTGGTCCTCCTTTTGTCCCATTGAATAGCTAAAATCCTGCCTAAAAGGGAATGTCTCGGGCAGTTCAGTTCCCAAAGCAAGGCATCGCAGCCCCTCGGAGAGCGGTCACCAAGAAGAACCTCCTTCGGGTTCCCAGCGAATGCGCTCGTGAAGACGGCAGAACCGCGAGAAGGAGCTTCCATGAAGGCCTTCAGCCTTTGGCCCCGTTGCCAGTTGGTCACCTCAGAGGGTTAGTGGCCATTTGTAGACCACCAGAAAACCAGTGGTTTGTGACGGTTTGTGGTTAGCCACGTACCACGGACTGCCTCCAAACCCCTGGAAAAAACGAACTGGCTTGCATTCATTTTTCGAGTTTATGCCTGGGAGGAAGGGAACCCACCCCCTTCCCGCCACCCCTGTCACTTTGCTACCTAGTCCTGCTTCCTCCTTTTCCTTCTGCGCCACCACCCTCTTCAGAGCCGATGGCCTGCGCTTCCCCGTTCCAGGAGCCGAGTTCGCTTTTCTCCGTGCATTCACACGCCTACGATAAGTCTCCAAAGAGGGCGAGGGGGCATGAGGAAGAGGAGGAGGAGGAGGAGGAGGCAGGCCAGGTAGGAAGGAGACATGGGGGTGGCAGGAAGGGAGCGGGAAGGAGTCCCGTTTTGCCAAAGCAAAAACGAAGGGCCAAGAGGAACAAAATTCGGCATTTTTGTTTCATTTCGGCAGAACCGAACCACAAACCAGTCCGATTCGTGGTTTTTCCGGTTCGTCGTTCAGTTTCTTGCCCATCTCCAATAATTTTATGAGAGAGCAGTATTTCTCTTCATCCCCCCATCCCAGTTTTGGCCCTGCGCTTCTGATTCATTCTACAAAAAGAAGAAACGACATATTTCGAGTACTTACGTAAGTGAGGATTCATCGGGGCTACAAAAGGAAGGCAGAAGAGAATCCAGAATTACTTAACAGTTCTGTACAGTGTGATGGATATGTGTGAGGGGGTTTGCCACCTGCGCCCTGGGCGGGCTGTCCGCCCTTCCCCTGCAGCTCGGGGGCGGGGGGCCGTGCCGAAACCTTGGCTCTCGGGCCCCTGGCAGCCACGGAGGAAGGGAGGGCAGGCATCGGCGGACAGGAGGCACCTGCAGACGATGGAGGAGGCATCGGGTGGCATAGAGAAAGGAGAAGGAATGGCCAGGTGGTAGGGCAAGGGGATCTCAACAGCCCAGCCCCGATGCTCTTACTGGGTCCTCGGTTACGCACCGTCAAGTTGCACTGGACTTAAGGTAAAGGTTTCCCCTTGACATTGAGTCCAGTCGTGTCCGACTCTAGGGGGCCGTAGAGCCAGCGTTTGTCCAGAGACAGTTTCTGTGGTCACGGAACGCCGTGACCTTCCCACCGGGGTGGTCCCTATTTACCGACTCACATTTTCACATGCTTTCGAATGGCTAGGTTGGCAGGAGCTGGGGCAAGCGACGGGAGCTCACTCCGTCACCTGGATTCGATCTTGTGACAGCCAGTCTTCTGACCTTGCAGCACAGAGGCTTCTGTGGTTTAACCTGCAGCACCACCACGTCCCATGCACTGGACTTAAACAGCAACCCAAATGCAGGTTTTAAAGTGGGGGAGACATTTAAGGTTTTACAAGGTCAACCATTCTCCTGTGAGTTTTCAAGGCTGAGCAGTATTTTGAACCCGGAGCTCCTGACTACTGGCCCAGATATCTGTCCACTGCACCACACTGGGTTCTGTTTGTTGAAGAACTCCTGATCAATTTAAAATGTTCTGTACTTGAAAATCTTCTGCACAGTATTCTTCATTCCCCCCCGACTGTCTTTGTGGATAGAAGCGATCACATTTCCATTCAACCCACGAGCCTCACACTTAAGTCCAAATTTAACTTACCTACAGCTGTTTTGAAAGAACTCTTTGATTTGACTGCTTTTGCTGTTTTGAACGCTCCTTTATCTAAGGAGAATAATCAGTGTTTCGCTTCCTGGGTAATTTTCCATGAGAAAAATGGAGTCAGTTGTTCAAGATCGGCTTCCCTGTGTTTGCTAACACAATTACTTTGTGATTGCTGAGAAATTTCTTTCTTTCTTTCTTTCTTTCTTTCTTTCTTTCTTTCTTTCTTTCTTTCTTTCTTTCTTTCTTTCTTTTTCTTCCTTCCTTCCTTCCTTCCTTCCTTCCT